CCCCAAAACCCCAAAACCCCAAAACCCCAAAGCTTATGGAAGAGATTGGATAATAATTTTAAATATGGAGAAGTAAGCACAACTAGGGAAATGAAGGGTTTAAGGTGAATTCTTCATCATTTTTAAGTAATAGCACAAATTTTAGAATATTAAGCATTTTTGACCTTTTCACTTAGATTTTCTAGTTTCTTTTATATATTAGGAAAATTCTATCAAGCAAAAGCTGCCCACAAATAAAAAATTTCTCGTCAGAAGCTTATAAAGATATAAAAACAGGTATATTGCTCTTAACCTTGCCAGATCTGGATTCAATGAAATAAGTACTCAGAGTTCATAATAAAGAAGCTGAAATCAAACAAGTCAAAACAGTCAAATTCCAAAGTAAATATCGAATAATATTCCAGGACGAACTATTTCGTACCAAAAGTCTTGAAGAGGAAGGGTCTAATTATTCCCAAATTTCTATGCAATGATTCTTAAAAGTGGTAGATTTCTGTTGCCTTCTTGAGCATGCTTCGGAGGACCAGTTCGGTATGTCTTGTCTTAATCTTCATAGATGAAATCATAGATAATAACTCTAAATTATTGCATAACCAGTCAATATTGCAGACAGCAATAGATCATTGTCTTAAAATTAAAAGTCATTATTGCACAGAATTTGTAATGAAGCATCTTCTCATTTGTAAAATAGAGCCTGTTTTAGATATCAGAACTCTTAGTAGAGTAATCAAGGGCTGCACCAATTATGAAGATAGTGTTTCATTCAAAATTTCTTCACCTTTAAGTTCCAAGAAGTTGGCTAAAAGTAATCGAAAATAGGGTAAAATTTGTAAAATTTAACTAAAAATCTTATTTCTTTTAGAAATTTGAGATCAAGCCGCCTTCACCACAATTGTTATCAGATTGCCCAAAGATATTGAAGTTGATCCTACAGAACTCTTGAGTCCTGAAGTACGCAGATCAGTACGAGAATATCCATGATATCTTGAGGTTATATTACAAAGAAATGGACTCAGAAAGGTAAACTCATGCCTCACCCATGTAGCCAAGAATCTACATCTGATGGCATTCTTAGCGATGACCTCAATATTGGGTTCATGCCAAAGGAAGAGACTAAGACACCTGCTAAAAGAAAAAGCTCTGAGTTTTATACAGAGGAAATGGCTGAAGAAAATAAGTTCACTGACCTCAATTCAGTGTTCAACCTTAATCAAGCTAGGGCTAGCAACAAGCCAAGGCTCAAGTTTCGAGATAAGCAAGCAATTAAGAGGATGGGTACTATGAAAAGGCAGAAAATCAAGAATATCTTGTCGAATAGCCACTTTTTGCAAGGCCTTAAGTCCTTTGATCTTCATATTTTGAATATGAAAGAGTAAGCGTGTCTAGTTGACTCATGATAGATCAAAGACAAAATATTTACAAGAAAAGGACATAATCGAGATAGCAGTCATTATTTGTTTCTTTACACCGTAAGTCATGTTTTTTGAGCGATATAGTGAACAAATTTGAGAGTTATGATCCCTCATTTTCTTCTGGAAGGGTCCAGAGCTTTCAAGTCTAGATACCAGATTTCCACTTTCGTTATACAAGTTGCTATTATTCTATGAAGAATTGGAAGCGTTTCAATTACTCTACTCAAAAGAATCAAATGATAGATTAAAGAAAATAATAATTTTGAAGTCTTTCTCATACTCACTGCTAATTTCAAACCCGCTCATAGCAATTTATCTTCGCAATATTTATCCAGACGAACTTTATTCGAACAAGTCTGAATGAATTGATGCTATTCTTACATACCTCAATGAATTTACAGAGCTTAATGGAAGTACAATCTATAGGTAATTTTCTTCCTATTTTTAGAAGAGTAAAGCACTTGGAGCAGTACCTCTACATAATAGAGAGGATGATCAGCTACTTCTCATTCCAGCAGGGGAAATATCTTCTGAATATATTTGAAACGCTCATCGATGTTGGCGAGATCGACCTTTCAAGAATCCTGAAGGCCCAGGGCTTGAAGAAGATCAACCATGACTGTATAGATAAGTACGAGAACAACTTCATCGTCTATTCCTCAGCCCCAATGAAGGAATGAGCTATGATAATCTACATCTGCAAACTTCTTGAGGGGTTTTATGAGCAGCTGAAGCATCCCACTTTGAATGTTGTCGAGGTATACTCAAATATGGTGGTCAAGATTTTGGATAATACTCAAGCCCTCAGCCAAGTTTACACTATGCTTACTGATAAGTGATTTAACAGGAAAGAAGTTGTGGATATCTTGTCCATTTGTGACCTCCAGACTATCCTGAATCATGAACAAGTAGCCAGAGTTGTCACTGATTTTTGGGATGGCCCCTATGAAAAGGAGTTCTTTATGAACCAATCTACTGTATATAGGGAAGTCTATGGCATGTTCATCGGAAGAAAGAAGTTTTTAGACTTTCATCCAGATAATCAATATAAGTACTCCATTGTATGTTCCTGAAAGAAGAAAATGAGTCCGAAAGAACGTAAAATGTTAAAATCTAGTCCGAAAAAGGCACATTTCTTTCATTTCAATTGCTGGGATCGATCGCTCATCACAAAGTATACAGTTGAAGCTATCTTTATTCTCTGGACTTCCTACGTTCTCTACACTGATATCTCCACTGTGTTACATCATAGTGTGGATAATGATAAATATATTGTTCAGGCTGGCCAGAACAGAGATAATTATGATGGAGCCACTAATCAACAGATAAGAGAAGAACTAGATCAGGAGTATGACCAAATCCAGGCCAATCAAGAGGAACAGCTAAAAATTTTGTACCAGCAGATGACTTCAATTCTTTTCGTAAGTGCTGTGCTGATCTTTAGTCTGGATGGTGCCTCACAATGTACTTGCTGAAGAACATTCATCAGTATATCTTTTTGAAGCTGACTTATAAGAATTCCATCCTCTTGATTACAGAGGTTATTCTTGGGATCATATTCAGTATATTTTTGGTCAGGTTCACTGTTTACTTCTTAATAATCCAGCCTATGAAGGTGGACATAAATGAGAAGTATTATTACACAAAAACCTTCTATCATATTAACTCTATCGATGATTTCAGTGGAGCAAGTATGACATTTTCTGTGATTGTATGAGTTCAATTGATCAGAGCATTCCAAGTTCTCAAAGCATCTAGAACTTTTGGGCCAATGGTTCAGATCTTGGTGTATATGATTAATCAGATTTGAATATTCTTGGTACTAGAGGCTACTTTATCATTGATTTTTGTATTTACATTCAGAATTCTGTTTTTCTCGATCCCAGAGTTCCAGTCGTTCAGGACAACATCTCTGACCTTATTATCCGCATCTATGAATCAGTTTGATCTTGAAATCTTTAAGAATTCATCATTTAGACTGAATCCTTGGATAGGATATCTCATGACAATTTTGTACATTGTAGTGTCAGGGATAATTCTTCTTAACTTCTTGATTGCCATAATCTCTAATGTGTACAACAAGCTGACTAAGATCAGTATGGGAATGTACTTACGCACACTGATAGATATCAGGCAGGGACTGCATAACAACGAGCATTACTCATGACTGGTTTCAGGGGTTACCCCCTGAAACCTGCTAGTGTTGGTATTCCTCCCCTGTATCTTGTGGTGTAGGGGAAGAAAAATCAATAATGTGATCCTTCATTTAGAATACCTGGTTGTACTCGGAATGGGCTGATACCTGTTTGCCCTAATCCAGTTCTTCCTATTTCCTATTAGTTATTTAGCTATTTTAGTCAATTTCTTCAGAGATTTCTGATACTATCGTCGAAAAAAGAAATCCAGAATTGTAATTTTGGTCGATTTAATAATTTTTTTGCTCTTTGGAGTCCTTATTTTGACAGTCCAATGCTTTATAGATTTTTGGCATTTCTTGTTTGATTTGTATACTGATAAGCTAATTGGAAAATACGATAATGAGAAAATTGGTCATCAAGAGCTTGATCAGGGTAAGAAATTAGCTATGTTGTCAATCTTTCCCAAACATTATCTAATGAAAATTTAAAGTAGCATGTAGTAGAAAGTGTTAATAAAACTATGCAAAATAAATCAAGAAATCTCAAAATTTCTTAGGCATTTTAATACAAAATAAAATGGCACCCAATATTAATTTTAATATCATTTCTAATTTATCCCAGAAGGCTATATAGATCCAGAATTCTATGATCTCTTCTTGAAAATGCTCGAAAAATACGATACTCCTCATGTTTCAAGCAAGAAGGTAGTAAGAGACCTAGGAGAGGTCCTCGATCTATACTCTCAACTGCGTAAACTAATATTCTATGTGCCGCAGTCTGGGGGAACAAGGTAAGTAAATCTTCAAGTATTTCTACCGAGTAGCTTCAGGTTTTTAGCTCAAACCCTTAATCTTCTGTAGTGAGTTCAAAAATGTGAAATCCGATGACGAAATGGAAATGCTTCGGAAGTCAATCTTGAGGACAAAAACTCCTGAATATGTTCTAAGGCAATACAATGTGCTCAAGTTAATCATTAACAACTGTTCGATTCCTAACAAGATAACAGTATGGAATAACTCTAACTCTTTAGAGGCAAAACCAATACATGGTAAAGAACTTGAAGAAAGTGCAAGGTAAATATGATAATTCACTCTTAGGCGACCAAATTTTCTGTAGGAAGCTCTCCATAATGAGACTTGAGAGTACCAATGATAAAGACTTAGAACTCGAATCTATTACTGATCGCACTTTCTACATCTCTGAGTTCTTGGATATGGCCCGAGATCTACAACAGAAGGAGATCTTCTCAGAAATTATTTATGGTAAGGATTCATAAATACCAATAGCTAATAAATTTGACCGTGATTTTGCAAGGATTTGAACTAAAAGAGGCAGGAAATACCAAAGCTCTCTTATGAAGTCTCTAAAGAACACTAGTAAACTTTCTGTTTAACTATAGACTTACAATTGGTTAACTCTAAATACAGGCCTAAGGCACCTAGTTATAAGCAACTGATAGGGCTTAACCCAGCTAAGAACTATACTGCATTGAGCCAATACAAGAATCAGCAATAATTTTTACTTTAGTTATAATTTTAGGCTTAAAAATTACAATGTATAAAATTATTGTTCAAATTATCTAGGATAGTTCTTTTTAGCGCTCTAGATGTTGAGATTTTAATAAAGCTTCTGTTAACAAGGCTAATTATAAGCATTGAACTAGCAGTATGCTGAGTAGGTAGAAAACCTAGAGGTCAAGATTCTTCTTCCTTGAAATTTCGAATCTGAGTTAATATTGTTTTGAGTAATGCACTGAAATAGTATTTTTCCAGTAAATAGTTTAAGTGGATACATATAAAAAATAAATATTCGTATTTCAACCAAGATTTACTATAGTGGGGTTTTGGGGTTTTGGGGTTTTGGGGTTTTGGGG